TGTGACACCACTATTTGTAGGTTACTTCTGCATGGAAGGCAGAACCACCCATAAAGAATAAATTGAAAAGTGAACATACGAAATTGATTGCAGGCTCCTTCACTAATTTCTCTTGGTTCTGACTTTGCAAAATTTATTGGCTGTCATCTCTTCTGCCTGAAATTTCACATTTTGATCTATTTAGCTGAATTCCTTAACAACTATCACGGGATACAATATGAGACATATGTTATAAACTAGTATTTAATTTGTATAAGGAAATGAGCAATGTATTTCTTAGAAGTTCAAGTTATTCACTTAAAGTGTAGAAGGAAACAGGATGAGGATGAAGTATCTTCTGGTTGCTGCTGGCAGTGGACAAAGTCAATGTCAGTCTGGTTCTCTGAAGGAAGAATTATTATACCTCATCCTCTTCCTTACTACAGTAGCAGCTTTATTCCTAACATGTACTGTCACAGAGGAGATTGAAGTTTTCAAGACCATGAAGACTACAGTTCACTCTTCCTTTGTCTCATATCAAAGCAATCTAATAATAAATAAAAGTAGTTGGTTGGCATACAATGGTTGAAATGCTGATATGCAACTTTATGTCATGTAAGGCTGATGACTTCATCGGCTGTGGCAATTTTGGAAATTAAAGGCTTCCGATTCCCACCCCCAAAGGTTCTGAGACTCCTTTAGGATCTTTTTCATCATGGGGAAGCTGCTTCAGGCCTGGAATGGGGGAGTCTAATTTCCAAAAATTGTCACTGCTGATTATTTTACTGCCAATGGCAATTTTTGCCAATTAAAGGCTTCCTGCCCGTACTGCAGCCCCCAACAGCTTCCCCACGATGAGAGGGATCCCAAAGGAGCCTTAAAACCTTCAGGAAGACGGTTGGAAATGTTTAATTTACAAACATTACTGTGGCTGGTGACATCAAACTCACACTGTGTAAAGTTGCACAACAGGATTTCAGCCAATGTAATAAGCAAAAATGTATAATAAATCCATCCCATTACTGCCTTTTGTTATATGAATATATATTTATATACATGAGTATATTTGGATTTGTATATACTGCATGTACAGAAATACCATAGTTTTCCTTTCAAGATGGACAAGGAGAATTATTCAAGTAAGCTGCCCTAACTCATTTTTTAGTGACACAACCCTTCTTTTGGAAGCAGCTGTGTAACCTTAGGCTTTCCTGATGGACCATTTGTTCTCAGAAGATTTTGAAGTATGTGTGGAGTTCTAGTGGCCAAGGGAGGACAGACCAGGAACCCTTCACTTTGGCATGAACTTATTCCCCTTTCATAATATTTCATAACCTTTCTTCCACATCTTGAGTCCAGTTTCCCATGTACTGTTTCACTCATTTCATCTTGCAATGACATTCTAAAATATTTTCAAAATACCTTGCTAGTAACTATAATCTGTATTTCAAAAGTCTGGTTCAGAAACTTGTCTTCTCTCTGTGTACTGCTGTTAAGGACTTCATGTATTGTTCTTTATGTTTGGGGAAAAACATTTTCAATAGCTACGTTCCTTCCACTTTCAGATCTTTAGATTAATTCTTTTCTAGGGCTGTTGTATAAGAATCTCTTCCTGTGCAACTATTGATGTAACTTGCAGTCTTTTGTTTACAAGTTTTGTTGTTCCAAATATCTATTGCTCCAGATAAATTTGAGCTATACAGTTTACCACTTCTGGACATGTCATTTAAGTTAACAAGTGAAAACTGGATTTTTTAAAAATGTAGCTATAAAGCTTAAATTGCTGATTCCGAGTGAAAAGGTGTTGGGGAGCTATCTCATTGTGCTGCCCTTTTGTAATAGTTGCCTATGTATTTTGAAGAATTGGGTCTGATTTATGTACCATATACCTAGATATTGTCTAAGAATGAAAGATTTTTCTCTTTTTGTCATATTGAGTTTCTTCCTTGGTAGTCTATTTATCTGCTTTTATATACAGTGGTGCCTCGCATTACGAGCGCACCATATAACGACGAATCCGCATAGCGATCCTTTTTCTTCACAATGTTTATGAATGTTTTCTTTGACACATCTAGGTCTTTCACTTATCTAAGTACGTTAAGTATACCTTTGGATCAGGTTTTGTTAATACAATATATGTTTAAATTAATTTGGTTTATATACTTAATGGCTCAACTTTTTATTCTAGCAGTTTTTCAATGTTAGTGCTGAAACTAGAACTAATATGAGTGGCAGTGGACAGCATTGCTTGTTGCCATGTAATTTGATTAAAAGATGTGAATGTTACTATTATTATTAATCTTGCTTTGGGTCTATTAGCCAGGTGTTAAAGGACATAAAAAGTCCAAAGGATTTCAAAACTTCAAACAGATAAATTCACTCTGCACTGTCAAAAACCTTTTAAATACTGAGGTGGATAACTTCCTTCTTTCCTTCGTTAATTCAAACTAAATGTAACCAAATAACAATGTCATGTACAGGGACCCATAGTCATTATCTGTAATTGTTAAATTCCATAAGAAATATGCCTTGTCAGCATGTGTACATCTAATTTTTTTTCAGGAAGTTTAAACTTTATTTCACAGTTTACTTGCTTTGTGGTGATATAAAGATCTTATACTCTGTATCACATGAACCCTTAAGATCATACCAAATAAAATTAAGAGTTATTTGTAAAAAAAAACAAACCCTAATATTTGCTTCAGCCTATGTCTTGTGTGCTTTCTTGCTTTCCAAAACTCTCCTGATCATTTTCATTAAAGCTTCAGCAAGTATCTTACAAATGTGCATTATGAACTTCTAAGCATCATATTCTGTTTATCTTCTGTCTAGCTTCTTTTGATCTTTCTTCAATCATTATTTCTCAGATATTAGATTTTAAAAGAAATATTTTCATTTGCATTATTCCTTTCCTGAGATGACTCATTTTATTCAGTTTTTATACAATACTTTAGAAATCAATTCAATGACATTTTTACTGGGTTTTCTATTTCTCTTACAGTATTTGAATTTTATGGTGCCTTTTCCCCCCTCAATATAATGATTAGTGTAATATTTTATTATTTTTTCATTTTTTTTCAAAATGTTTGCTTTACAAAATTTACTCTCTGTTAAGTTTTACTGTATAAGTATTCCTGACACAAGCATATTTATGTTCTTTCTAAATTTTCAAATTAATGTTAATCATTGGTAACACTGAATTCAGATTCCTAAAGGATACTTAGCTTTATGTGATCCAGACAAGGTGACATGTGGGTTTGTCCATTCACCTTAGGATCTGGGATTCCTCTTCTGTTTAGTGTAGTTTTTGAAATGCCTTCTCGAAATAGAAATTAAAACCAAAGACTAGTATCTTATTGCTGCTTGGGAAACCATAATACTCTGCCAGGGCAGCAGCGTGCAATCTGTAGCTTGCCATTGCTCAGGGCAGAGACCCTCCTGTTGAAATGAACAGTGCCTACACTTGAGCAATGATTATTTTATTGCGCAAGCTCAGAAACAGTTGTATTGCTTGTGGAGTGTTGCAGGAGTGGATGGAACAAAAAAGGATGTTGTCCCAAAAATTCTGATTCAGACATGGGTTTTCTGGTGAACAACCTCTGTGGTGGAGATCGATGAGGTCTATCTTCCCGCATTAATACTTTCACACTGTAATCTAATGGTCCATCTGGTCTCTTGACTGGTTTCCTGCTTCCCATGCGTGTGCTTTTTTTCCCTTAATCATATGACTTGTCCTAATGTGCTTAGGAGAATATCTTCAAATTCTTCCCCCTGTCTAGACTTCGTCGTACATTTATCCACCTCAAGCATCCTGTGCTTCTTTTTGTTTTCCTTTTGCTTTCAGTGCTCATACAGATGCATTGGATCCCTAGCAGTTGTTCAAAATAAGCATTGAGTCTGCCCATGCCTCTACTGTGTTACATTACACTGGACTTTCAATATGACTACATGTACAGAAAATCCTGAGATCGGGCAGGAGGAGTACTGATTGACACAAATATTTTTCAGTAATAATAAATGAGAAAAAGCAGTTGTAACTGTACTGTTTTATAGCTAATATTTATCACCATGATCTTTCAGTGGAAAACTACTGATAGGATCCCGGTAGGAAAGCAGCCACGTCTATCAGCACATTTCATTGAACTGGATTGATCTTTCTTATGAGGGTCTAGAATTGAGGCTCCCTGTTTTTATCACACTGATCAAAAACATCAATCAGATTGTACTTCCATATATTGAATTGATCTGTTAATGGAATTTTGACTTTTGATTCATGACCAAAATCCCTTACTGAAAGTCATTCTTTCCATAGCTTGCTCTAGGGCTTCTATATAATTAATTGTACACGTTCAAAAGGCTTTTGTAGCAGTTAGCTTAGCTGTAAACCTCAAACAGGGTAGAGAAGCAGCTCTCTCATTAGTAACTCGAGAGGTAATTATCCTTTTTGTAATGTCGCTCAACCTTGCTTGTGAAGCTTACAGCACAGCAAATACTCATTACAAGACTGTGTCACAGGTATGAAAATAGACAAAGTTTATTAGAAAGGAATATTTCAAAACAAATAAAAACAATTAGTTGCAGAATTATGTACTATTAAGTATTGCTAACAGCCAAATAACTGATCCAATTTTGAAATACCACCCCCAAGAACAATTTGTGCAAGTCAGAGATATTGTATCTTTGTTCATTGCTTAGAACAGAATGCTGTAATACAGTATTTATAAGTGTAACTGATGGATGGAAATGAAATTGCTGCAACTGACATAAGCTCTGGTTTCATGCTAACCATCTCAGTTGCATCTCAGGATTGTGTGCAAATTTGAGTGTTCATCAGCTCCCAAAAGCTGATTAAAATGCAAAAAGCACAACGTATTCTGCAGATGTGGTAACATTGCATGCTAGTGAATTGTGCACCCAGAAGACTTTCTGTTTCCACTCAGATTTGGGAAAAGAATCCCTCTTTTAAAAGATGGTTGTGTGGAAGTGGCTTTTCAATTGCTTTTTTTCCAAATGTTTTTCAGGAAATCCTGGAAAATTCCTTGAGCCAGGAGTTCACTGTTGAGAATGTGCTTGCAGTGCTTCCTGCCTTCCCAAAGGGTGCCCCTCAGCAGCGTGCAAAAAGAGCTGTTGAAGCGCTGGTAAAGGCTCAAAATTATTCCAGGCAAATGGCAATGCAACAGGTGAGGAAGTAAGGGACTTTACTGGAGCTCAACATTCTTCCCTTTTCAAATAAAGCAGCTTTTAACCTACTTGACAGATGGTGGTCGGTTTTCTTCCTTGTGCGAACATTAACAAGTAGTCAATGTAATACGGGCGAGGATTCCTTTGCCATTTTTGTCTCTCGGCTGCGTCGTCCTTGCTCTTGTTTCTTCTTTGCAAAATCGTTTTTCTGTGGGTTTTCTGCAAGGCTGTACAATGGGAACTTATGAATACCACCATTTGCGCACAGCTCTGAAGGCACACAGGAAAATGGCTAGCTGTTCCTTTAAAACATGCATAATTTGGGAATGTTCTCGTTCTTTCTTCCTGTTTCAGGAACCAAAATAGTTTATTAAAATAACCAACGGGGTGGGAAAATGTAAATGGAGTGAAATTGAACAAAGAGAAATACATGTCCCAGCATGACATTAATTCAGGTTCTAATGCAGTTTGTTTACAAATGGAATTGGCTGGTAAAAGCTAAATAACAGAATTTATTTCTAAGAAGCTTGCAGTCTGTGGAAATGTTTATTTGATAGAAGGACAAACATTTCATTTTTTTTAAAAAGGGTAAATTCTTTTGCCATTATCATTTTCCTAGATATTGAACCCCTACTGGTGGAATGTTACATCTGCTAGAACCTGAACATCTCGCTGTTTGAATTTGCATAACTCATTCATTCTCTCTGCCAGATATTTGGCAGTTCAAAGGATCCCTTCTTGACAAGATTGAGAATTTTATTTAGCATCTGCCTTTAGGCTGCCTATTCCAGGTCATGTACACAAATTTGTCTAAAAGGCAAGCTACAGTCTAACAGGCTGAAGTACAGATGCAGCTAGCAGTACCGTCAGCAACTTGGATTTGGCTGCTTAAGTCTGTTGGGAAATTGCATAGAGAAGTATCCATTCGTTCAAACCAGTAGCATCCGTCATCTCTGCTGCCCACAGCCAGCCTGGAGATAAGGTTGAACAGAGTTCTGGCCAGGTTTTCTAGGAGCTCACATCCATCTGCTTGTGCAGGAGATTGTGCCAGCAAAGAATATTTGTGGATTTAACTCTGTGGCAAACTGTGGAAGGAACTTTTGAATAGAAGATGGCTCTTGGTAGATCCAACCTATTTCTTTGGGTTTTTTAGTAGAATAGCCAATCTGTTGCACATTGTTCAACTTCAATTGGTTCGTCTTGGAACAATTTGATCTTGCGCCTGGGAAAGTACATTAGGTCACTAAGATAATCTGGCAGCTTGCTCCATATTTCTTGCCTATGCATGGCCAAGAGTCTTGAAGTCAAAAATGTCTAAGGCCCATTTAATAATATTTATTTTTCCGTGGACTGTTTGATTTCCCAAGGGGCAAGGAAGTGAGCATTTAATGACTCTCCAAATAGTGTGCCATCATTTTCTCTCTCCCCCCCCCCAATGTATCTGCTTCTTCTTAAAGTCACAGGAGTAATGTAATGGTGTGAAACTGTGTAAAAATTAAAGTATTCTTAATTAAAGCATCTTGAATACTTTCATATTATTTTAATTCATTTTTTTATTGATTGCTATTAATCAAGTATTAACGTCAAGGACTTTACTAACCTTGTGCTGTGTGTGCAGCATGAAAAACATCAGAACAAATACGACTAAAGATTAACGGATGAAAAATTTCATGCAATGGGTTGCACTTCTTTTAAAAATATAAATTTAATTATTAATTTTTGTGTAGCTCTTGGCTCTCTTTCTCCTCAGCTGTACAAACTAGAGCATGGAACAAGGGAGCTGCTGCAAATATTATTTCTTAGAACAGAAATACTTTTTGCCACCTAAGCCCATTTTATGAACCCGTGAAAAAAATCTATAAAGCAAAACATCTAAAATGCTTCACATCAGTGTTGTGCCTGGTGCTTTCCAGTGACTGGACCATTCACATCTTCTCGATTTAACTGGGGAGAAGGACAGATTGTCACGTTTGAGGATCAGAAACATTTTCATAAACGCAAGACCCAGCTGCTAACTCTTTTCGGGATGGGATAGTAACAGTCTACCTTTCCTTATGAAATATTTAGTTTCACAGATATTTCCAAAGGAAATAAGAGGAGGTGGGCTGTGGGTATCTGCAGGCAGAGGGTTTGATTAGTGATACCCCAAACTGGACTGTCTGCTTTCTTGTAATCATCCTAGCTCTCATTAAAGAGCTCAGCATTACATAAGTGTGTTTGGACAACCTTTCTCTTCACATTCCAAATTCTTTTTGAAAAAAAATTGTCCTCCCTTGGACTGGAAGAATAAATCTCATCAACGCAGTTTACATTGTATCACATGTAGAAACTCCATCCTATAGAAAATATTTTATAGTAATATGTGTGCTTTTTACTAGTACTTGTAGGAATGGGGTCTTTGATCAGTCAGAACTGATCACACAAAACTGATACCCATTTTACCTCTTTCCTAATGTTTTTAGAACTAAAGCATCCTGATGCATCTCAGGAACCTGTCCCTGTTTTCATATTCTCTCAACAGCTTTGTGGTGAATGAATCCATTAGCCTAAAATGAGGGATATACAGCCTTGGGGATCCATATAAGCCCTTGCTAAATGGCTTGTTGTTAGAACTGCCAACTGTGGAACAGATGGCTCAGTTCAAATGTCTTGCCACAGTGTTGGTTTGTACTAATACAATTTTAGAAAGAATACCTGTGGTTTATACTGTTTTCTCAGATGTGTCTTTTTGAGAGTCCCAGATGCTGTCCTAAACCACTCTGCCATACAACTGGCAAAACAATGCCACGTATGCTGTCCTTATACAATGATAGCAATTCAAGGGTCCCAAGGAAAATGTTGAACGGCTTTAGACTATGCTGCTCCCCCAGTATACAGTATATCCATCTTATCTGGTATTTACCTATGTTATTCCCATTGATTCCTCTTACTGCTGCTTTCGGGAATACATGCATAAAGCTTCACTGTTTTACCAATAATGCAACCATAGCACCTCACTTTCCCTCTCTGCTTCTTAACTTCTTTATAGGTAAGAAACATCAAGCCAGGCTTTCAAATGTTGTACATGGCCTCCCATGTTCTGTGGTGTTTATACACTGTAGAACAGAAGTTCTTAGACTACTGTAAATGTATTTATTTAGTGTGACCTAGATTCCCCCATCCACCAACATGATTTATTCAGCTCCTACTATTCCCTGTGTGCTTGTTATTGGGTATTTCTGTTACAGTTCAACATGCGTAGGTGATGGTGCACTATCCTGTTCAGAGTAGGAAAGGAAAAGAGAGCATGGTCTAATAGATAAGGCATTCCTATTGGCATATCCTAATGCTTTTTCAACTGTACAGTTTTCCTTACTTTGCAGTTTTATTCCATCAAGTCTCAGATTTTCCCAAATGCTTACCCTTCCTCTGAAAGAGATTTGCAGCAACTCTTTTTGCCAGTATAGGGACAACTTTTCTGTTATGTGTAAGTTATCAACTTGTTGAAACCTATAGGCATAGAATTATTGGCTTGTCCCTTTATACTATTACTTACTTTTCTCTAGTCTCTGCACCTATATACTAGGTTACTGGCACTAGATTACTTACCTGGTACTAGATTACTCTTCTAGACTCGTGCTAGTTACTATTTAGTATTTACTCAATATCCCATCTTTTCTTCAGTGAGTTTAAGACACCATATTGCAGCTCTTCCCATCCCCACTTTATCCTCAAAAGAACCCTGTGAGGATGAATGGCCTTAAGGTAACCACGGTGAGCTTCATGGCTGAATGGCGGACCTGGATCTTCCAAATCAAAGTCCAGCACTATGGCCATTGCACCCCTGTGGCTATTTGCTGTATGTGTATTGATCTGCATTAATTTGGAGTGGTAATGTTTCCATATCTTTAAAGGTCTTAGGTAGAAAAGCAGACGGTGGGCTTTTAGGAAGAAGATGTGGTTTGGGAACCCCAGGGAAGAACTATTTGTTATCATTTTCTGTCTATGATTTATGTTTTTATAGCACAGCAACTTTAGAGGGCATGATGCTGTTTTCCCCCCCACAGATGTCACATTAACCACAGTTTGGTTTGAAAAACAGCTTTAAATCATGGTTTCAGATTCTATTTTGGTTACTGATTGTAGACTATCTCAGTTCAGATACAGTGAAGATTTGCAAACCATGGTTTGGTAAAAACATCTAAATTGAATCAATGCAAATAGTTGGTTATCACTGATACCAGTCATTGTATTATACCTGTTTCCCAACCCCAGACATTTGCTTTGCAAGCTGAACTTAATTTCCATAGAACTCTGTATAATCTCCAAGTTAAGTACACCGAAGCTCTCTTCAGTGGAATAAAGCAAGCATACCGCACATTTCAAGATAATGTTGCTATGGTTCTCTGCTCACCACTACAAGGTGAGTAGCTATGTGGAGATAACAGCATAACTAACACAAATTACATTTCTAAATATGGATATAGATACTAAATACAAATGTTCAGAAGAGTAACACCTAAAAACAATTATAACTCCAGAGTGTTTCTTTTCTTGCTGCTTTATATTTTTGATAAAGGTCTCTAGGGAATACTTGATCACTTCCTGCTTCTTCTTGCAGATGTTTTTTCTTCTTATGCAAAACTTAAAACAGAAGCTTCTGAGTCTGCTTTGAGAGGCTTTCTTGCTGCTTTCAAAAATAATGCTGAACAGATCCAATATGCAGTTGAAAGTTTAACTCCACCGATGAATCAGCAGTGTGAAGGTAATTCATTTTTTGTAAAGTCTAGGATAGTGAATCAAATGAGTCTTGTATCCTTTAGAAATAAAGATGTAGAAGGAGTCGAGTTCTTCAGCAGCCTACACTCCTGAGTTATCCTTAAGCCTTGATAACATTTAGTAAAATACGGAGTAGTTGATATTACAGTAGGACCCCTGTGTCTGTGGGGGATTGGTTCCAGTCCTCTGCCCCTGCAGATACTGAAAAAAGCAGACAGCAAAATCTATGTACTGTATCTGTAATAATAGTAACTGAGGCTGGCTGGTGATGACAGCACTCTCAAGATGCTGGGAGACTAGGCTAAATGGTGGTGAGTTACCAATACAGTATAGTCTCTGGTTCCCTTTATAATATAAGTAATAGGATTCTGGCCATATGGTTGCGCCACAGTATGGGAATTAAGCATTCTTGCAACAAAGTGTTTCCTTCAGAGAAACAAAGTGCAACAAAATGTTTCTCCTTCAGAGAATAGGAGCTTCCCTCAGAGAATAAGACACCTCCTAACATTAGTTCACAAAAGTTACGGTTCCGTGTCATCAGGAGGCAATTAATTATGCATGACAAGCTGCATAATTAATTGGGCACATAATTGGCAAAATATATATTTAAAAATATAATTAATGAACATGTAGGTCAGAAACATGATCTACTTAGCATAAGAAGTAACCACATAATTCCAAAAGATACAAGTAGAAATTATACAGAAGCATAATAAATAAATAAAAAGTGAAAATGACTATGTCTTGCTTTTGCACAAGCAAAATTGGCTCTACGCTTTGTAACATGTGTTATAAATCTATGAACAAATGGCAAAGTTTTGAAATGTCAAGAAAATAATCCCATATACATATGTGTACATGTACATTCATCTATTTTAAACTTGGGGATTGAGTACATAATGGAGAGTATTATTTCTGTTTTATCAGAAAGAACTGATTCTGATTTTTGATTATTTAATTTTTTTCTTTATTCTTTGACTATCATACATGATTTTGACTTAACCTACAGTGGTGCCCCGCATAGCGACGATAATCTGTTCTGAAAAAATCGTTGCTATACGGATTCGTCGCTATGCGGGACTAAAAACCCCATAGAAATGAATTAAAACACGTTTAGTGCGTTCCTATGGGGAAACAACTCACCTTTAAGCAAAAATCCGCCATCCGGCCGGTGCCTCTAAAGCGAGGCAACACAGTGGGTGGCCATTTTGGAACCGCCAATCAGCTGTGCTTCGGCCGCTCGCTCTCTCTCTCCACCCCTTGCAGGTCCAGCCTGGGCAGGGAGACTGAGGCACCGCGCCGCCCTGGCCATTTGGATTTTTGCACTGAGCACGGTTTTGTACTTGATGGCCTTTTAGGACTCTTCCAACTTCATGATTCTATGATTCTATGACAGAATTGAGAAATTGCAGGACATCCCTGTTATACAAATGATTCTGCTGTGTGTGTGTTTTTATAATATATACAAATTGCTGCTGTTGCACTGTTGTTAATTACTGCTTACTTTATTTTTTGTATTAGTCATATTGGTGATTTCACACAATTAGGGATCAGGCAATAAATAAAATTAGATCACCTTCCAATATAAGCAATCAGACATGAATATGCAACGACATCATGGAGAGCACACAAAGGCAACCGCAAGAGAGATGAATGTAAATAGAGTCCCCCGAGACCCAGCCCCCGCTGCCGCATGCTCTCTTTCTCTCCCCTTGCAGGTCCAGCCTGGGCGGGGAGACCGAGGCACCGCGCCGCTACGGCCAGGGTGGCGGCGGGGTGCCTCAGTCTCCCTGCCCAGGCTGGAGTTGCAAGGGGAGAGAGAGAGAGAGAGAGAGTGCCCCGAAGTGCAGCTGGTCGGCGGGGGTTTGTAAAGCTGGCTTCCCGCAATCTTCGCAAACCCCCACCCATCAGCTGTGTTTCAGGGCTCTCCCTCTCCACCCTGCAACACAGCTGATCAGTGGGGCCTTTGGGATGATCGTGGGGAAGCGCTTCCCCACGATCATCATTGCAGTGCGATGTTTAGCCAATTTAAAAATCGCAATGCGATCGGTTTTTTGATCAGAAAATCCACATCGGTATGCGGGTTCATCGTTAAACAGGGCGCTTGTTAAGTGAGGCACCACTGTATTTTAAAATTGTTTTCAACCTTTTTTTATTCACTGTACTTCACCCTGAGACTTTTGGATGTGGGAGCATAAGACTTCTCAGATCAATTGGTATGTCTCTTCATTGAATATCAAAGTAGCAAATATCAGCAAGCTTGAGGAAAAGAAACAATTTGCAGAATTTTAAAAAAAGACTTTAGAGAGAAAACAAAAATTAAGAGTGGCAGGGACTCCAGAGAAAAATGTAGCTCGATGAAGGGGTTTATTTCTCTTCAAGATTCCAGATAATACCACTCTTCCAGGGTTCTCCAGGACACATCCCCTCCCCTTTCATCTTTTCAAAAATTGGTCAGCATTCTTCATCCACAGAACATACCTGGCTTTTACTGAGCTGTTTCTTTGAATTCTTGGTTATTTTTCCTCCAAAGATTTATTTTTTAATTTATTTTTGTATTTCTACAAGCTCCTTTAGTTTTCCCAAGCTTTTTTATACATCTGTTTTGCTATTTGTGTGATGTAAAGGTTGGCACCAAGTTTGCATTTAAAATAGTGTCAGTAAAGCTCTTGTTCCTTACTGGTTTTTAACACTCTCCTTTCTTCACAAAATGGTGTACATGAGTGGTTGTGCTTCTTACCTTTTTTCATCTCGGACTACCATGAGAGAGACTCTGAGAGATTGTGACTAGCCTGAGATCATTCAATGCACGGTGGTGGCCTGCAGTCAGGTCTCCCTGGTCAATGTTGCCACTCAAGCTTAACATTCATTTATTTTGCTGCAACTGGTATGGTTTTGCAATAACCAATGTAGTTAGATTGTTAACAGTTGTTAGTATAGAACCTCTCTAGAAACCGAACAGTGCTGCCATGTATCAGAGCTATAAAGGTTATATTCCTGTGAAAATATACTAGAATGTGTTCCAAAATAATAACTAAATTGATGACTTTCCTTCCTTACAAATTACAGGGAAGGCAGGAATTTAATTGTATTCATTAGTCATAATTGGAGTTATGTTAAAAATCTGCATCTATTAGGTTTCTGTGCCAATAATGCTTCTTGACATCTGACATCTAATCTGGTGAAATAAGAAAACATTCATCAGATGCTGAAAAATGTTTTTACATATGTATGTTTCACATCTTAGCTAGCTCTTTCTGTTAGGTACTAATTTTTGTAAATTGGAAAATGTCCTTCTCTTTTCTCTCAAGGACTTAACGATATATTAATGAAAATAGAATAAAATCCAAGCAAATAAAAAGTCACCCCAAATCCCTATTCAGCCTTAATATCATGGTTAGTTATGTGCTGCTGGAGAAGTTTAGACGTTCAGTAGTACCTCAGTTTGCGAAATGGATCCGTTCTATGCAACATTACATTTTGCAAACCGAAATGCCAATTGCACTATGAAAGGGGCAGTGCTATAGGCGCAATGCGCCCTGGGAAAACCCTTTCGTAGTGCAAAAAAAAAAAAAAAAAAAAAAAAAGAAAACAACATAAACCGGGGCTTTATTTTTTATGGATTTTGGTTCATAAACCGAAAATTACGTAAACTGAGGTGTTAGCAAACCGATCATCTGCTATATAAAGCCTTCAACATTAATGTATGTTTACAGCATTTATTTGCAACCATAACTGATACTGTTCACTCGACAGTTGAAAACTGCAAGTATTTTCTGTGTAAGATTGAGATATTGATCTCATTTCTTTAAAAAGCACAGCTTTGCATATTTAGTTAGAAGTATATATCACTATATTCAATATGGCTTGTATCTGTATAAATATAAACCCAGTAGTAGTAATGTGTTTAGGGTTTTGGGGGCTGGGTGGGTTTAAGTCTAATTGCCATAGTCCAGCCCCAAAGGAACTCACTATAGGCCAGAGTTTCTGTATGTTTGCCAGAAAGGGTTACTTTCAGTGGGAGATCAGAATTTTGCCCATGTTAAAAGCACTGTGAATCATTCTAAAAAGTGACACATCTGATTAGTTGTGGAATACATTTCTGGCCTTATTTGATAATAAAATATACCAACGTGTTCATTTTTCTAATAGCTGAAAGGAGGTTCCCTAACATTGTGATATAACTCTCACCTTTTCTAGGTTCATGAAAAATTAGATGATGATTAACACCTATTAAAATTATACTGATTAATTTTGAATACACTCAAAGCAACTGTTGATTTATATCACGAATGGTGCAGTTTAGCTCCCTGCTTTCTTTTAATTTACTCTCAAGGTGATGAGGCCTTGTCAAAGTTTGGAAAAGAGTTCTTCCTGTCTTTGGAACGTGTTCTCAAAGCTTGTGGAGAGCAGCGGGATAAAGCAGCCAGTGAAATGGAGACCTTACAAACAGAACTTGATCAAGCCTTAGAAACTCTTCGGAACTTAAGGGAAAAGAAGGCGAAGAAATCAGGAATCAACCAGCATTTCTCAGCCCATGAAGAGGGTACAGCAGAAGGGATGGAAGCAAGTAGCTTGAATGTATGTTCCCGGAAAACATCTGAACCTGATTCAGCATCTAAATTGCTTCCTCACAGATCTAGCCATTTGCTAAAACATGGTTCTGTCTTAGAGTCTGTCAGTGTCAACCCATCCTCCAAGCAGAAAGGGAAGCTCCTTCAGAGGAGCAAGAGTATGAAGGCCACTGAAAAACCACCTTGGCAGGCTTAAATATCGCTTTCTAGTGTCTTCCAGCATTCATGTCTTTACAGTTCTTATGGAATGCTGTGGAACAGCATGGTGGAGCTTTCAGCATGGAGTTCAGCACTAAGGAGTCAGTGTATTTCCTTTTGTCTATAAAGTTTGCACTTTTAAATGAAGTGGCTTCTCCAGACATGACAGGTTTAATTCTTTAGAACTTTTCTATTCAGAACATGGACATCCTTTGACTTGTAAGCCATTCTCACAATAACATAAGATGATATAGGAACATGCTTGAGCATTATAGATCTCTGAAGAAGCAAAGAAGTCTAAAGTGAAAATTGTAATGTGTAAGCATTTCAGATAGAAAATATCGAAATACCAAAGAGCCATACCCAAAGCTACTCTCTAGGTGCATTAAGGAGTATGAAGAAGTGTCTTTAGAAAGTGACAGACACAGCCAGTAGGGTACCCTGTATATATCAGTGCATATCCTGCACTGTATAAAAAGATGTATGCTACATGGTGCCTTGAAAAGGGAGTTGGCCGCACACCAATAAGCCTTTCTCCAAGTCCCCTGCTTCCTTCCTCTGGCCCAAATGCACAGATTGTCTGTTGCTTCTCTACACATTCATAGAACAGGTCAGTGTTTCCCAAATTGGTGCCCTTCAGATGTGTTGGAGTACAGCAACCACCTGGCTGAGATTGTGGAATTTGTAGTCCAACACATACATCAGGCTGAGGAAGCTACAACAAATGAAGAATTATATTGTGGGACTTCCATAGGCTATATTACCATAACATTTGGCTTCTAGGCGTCCTGGGGAAAGATAAAGCTTCCAGCTTCTTTGGTCCTTGTAGGACAAGGCTAGAATTACTGGGGGTTACCATGCAGCTGTCAAGGTGCACCCTAAAATATACTACAGTTAATAAAACTGACTTTGAACCTGTTCCATTACTGTTCTACAGAAACTGTGTTTGTTTCCTAGACACATCCAGTTGCTTGGAAACAATCCCCGAAGAAGGTTTGTTATTCATAGCATTTCTCAAGCCAGCTATGGTTCTCCTTAAATAGTCTCAGCATCCGAGAAGTTTGATTGTTCCCCTTGGCTTGCTACCCCAGCTGCAAGCCATACTCTAGGCTCTCATGCTTATGAGTCTAATAAACCTGCCCAGAATGACAGAGTGGGGATCAGGAGCAGCATTCAAAATGTTTACAAGTTGCACATGCTTTTGAAGAAGATATTTCAATATTTTTTTAAAAAAATGGAATGATGATTATGTAATGTCCCGTCTCCTCCATCAGCTATTTCTGAGTATGCTGAAGGTGAAATGTTTGAATGTGTTTAATTAATAAATGAATGGAAAGAAACATGACATTTGTTGTAAGTTTATTTTGTTCTTCCATCAGATTATACAGTATAAAGTCTTTTCTTTTCCAAGAATAACTCTTCTGAGTTCTTAAACAAATACTGAAACACGATTGTGCCCCTTCCTAAGCTTTGTAGTCTCGATAAATACAGAAACCTTTTCAAGAAGTCTGTATGAAGTTCCATGTTTGTTTAATTAGTAAACAAGTTGTGTACTTGAGTGACCAGTCAGATCCAGATGCTCTGTACTGGATTTAATTTTCTAGATTGATTTCCATTGGGGTTTAGTCTTGGCTGTTGTAATGAAACTGTTTTGGTCACTCTGTGAAATAACCTTTCATGGGAGAAAGATGGAGGAGTATATCCTTATTGATTTTCCTGGACTTCTCAGAGGCCTTCAGTAACACTACCAGTGGACAGATCTGAAGTGTTACAGGACAGAGCACTATAGTTTCACAGTTTTATTCATTCTTGAATGGTGTTTTCCAAAAGTAGGTTCTGGGAAGGAATTTAAGTTTTAGAGTCCTGTGGGATTACATTAAATGAGTTCAAATCTTGGAGGATAGATAAATTGCATACCTGGGTTTTAAAGGAATTTGTGGATATCATTGCAGAGTCACTGTCTTTAACCTTTAAAATTCCTGGATGACAGGTGATGTACCAGAAAGTTGGAGAGTGGCAAATGTCCTCTGCCTTCAAAAATGGGTAAAAAATGTTTCCTGGAAACTGCAGACCAGGTGGTCTGATTATTAATATCAACGCTGAGCACAATTCTAGAACATGTGGCCATGTAGAAAATAATACGTGTGCTAACAGAAGCATCAAATGAAATATAATATCAAAGAGGACTCAAAAAATGGGAACAGTTTTATAACTGGATCCAAAATATGGATTTGAAGGTATAGATAAAAGAAGTATGAGAAGGTCCAAAGGAATGGAGAGAGTAGTAACAATAGATACTCTGGAAAATTGTTAGGTTGTTTGTATTCACGAAGGCTTTCACAGCCGGGATCTAATGGTTGTTGTGGGTTTTTCGGGCTCTTTGGCCGTGTTCTAAAGGTTCTTCTTCCTAACGTTTTGCCAGTCTCTGTGGCTGGCATCTTCAGAGGACAGCACTCTGTGCTCTGGTGTAGTTGGCTTGGGAGTGGAGTATTTATGGCTGTGTGATGGGCTTTTGTCTTTTTCCGTAGATGGGTGATTAGTGTGTCTTGTTGTGGGTGTATTGTCCTGGTAAGCAGGAGAGATTATCTGTCACTGTGGTTGATGGGTGTCATTAGCTGGTCTTTTGTGTGTAGTGATCCCTGGTCCTTGTGGCTGGGTGGAGTTTGTTGACCTTTTGCACACTGGGAGTTCTGAAGGAAGGCCTTCTTAAGGAATGACCCTTCCTCCCATAAGCTGCCTCAGCAACATAGGTCTTTGGCTGTGCAGTGGTATTCCCATTCTTGCTTTGAACTTTGGTATTTCTGACCCTACATTCTGATAAATAGAATGGCTATCAACAGCACAAATCAACAGCACAAATGACAGCATTGTTGGTCATCTTTTCCTGTTTAAGGTGATTGTGGCCTAGCTTACTTGTTGTCACAGGGTGGAATTCATTGGAATGTTTCAGAGGAGATTTTTTTTTCTGTTAGCTTGCAAAGGGGAAAACAAGGAGTCCCACTGCCTACACTCTTGCTTCATTGCAAATAAAATAAAATTAAAATAATTCCCTGAATGTTGATGGCCTTATGTTAAATGATCTATGAGACTCCTATATTCTTGCTTTTCTCTGAAAAATAGCCACTCATTCTTATGAGATGCATTTCAATTAGATTGTGCTTGTCCCCCCTCCCTGATGTCTAAACTACTCTGTGATACGTAGTTAAATGAAAGGATTGGCTTTAGCTATTCTTTATTAAAACTAAAGCTATAGCAATTTTATTAGATAGTTTAATCAGGATTCCACCACCCCCCATCACAAGAGTCGTTGTATATAAGATTACAAATCCTGTGCGTTAATCTGTATATTAGAAACATGTGTTTGGACACCATCACAGTTTATAATAACCTTAACATAATTAATTTTCAAAAAATCCAAACTGCTGTGTTTGAAAATGGTCTCTAGCATCCATTTTTAATAATAAAACAAACCACACTTTGCTTTTGAATTGCTCATTTACCTTGAAGCAAGTCCAGAAAAATCATATTTTCTCTCTCATGCTAATTCTCTGATACAAGGCTTATGGAAATTTAGTGCAATTAGTTGCATGCTAATGACCACCTTGCTACACTACCCAGACTTCTGTTTGACAGTTTGCAAGCCAGATGATTCCAGCCTAGCTTTTATAGGCCTTCTACTTTTTTCACATTCTCATGCTATTATCAGTAGAGTCAAATAGCAGGGTGGTATAGATAGGTTTCCATTTGTGAAATGTAATATTGCCTCGGTACATTTATGATGCCTATTACAGCTTTTATACCTGATCCAAACAAAGAGAACATTCTGTTTTCCAGACATACTACATGGCTACTGTCTGGGTATCCCATTGTTGTCCAGTACCAGTGTCTTGCACATCACTTAGTGGGGTGGGCCCTGTGGTGATCCAGATGTTGTTGGACTTTAACTCCCTTCAGTCTTAGTTGGCACAGACAATGGTCATGGATTAGGCACATTGTTCTTTCATGCTGTGTGTGATTCACACTCTCGTGTTCTGCACCTACACAGAGGCCCATAATGTGAATTCACAAATAACAATTTGAAGAACAAGAGATGCACAATCTCTCCTTATAATCTATCTGTGTCTCTACTTCCTTGCAGCTCTTAATAGGACTATGTGGTTTGGGACCAACGAAGGGAAAAGGGCAGTCATGTGCTTCAACATCAAGAAACAGGGGGTACCCAGTTCTTACTTCAGCATGAATGGTCTGTAAAACAGACGTAGCATGGGTGATGGGCAGTGTTGGAGTTATACTACAGCTCCAGGATCCTCATATATATATAACACCTTCTTGCTTATTTGAGGAAATAGAAATATTGGCCAGAATCCTACCAGTGATTTACATGTATGTAAGTGAAATCACATAAGTTGTGGGAAATTGTACCTGGTTAACAAGGTGTTGGTTACTTTCCTGGGCATTCACCTAGGAACACAATCATCATGTGGTTGGTTAACTAGAAGTGATTTGTTATCACCACAACTTAAGTGATTTTATTCACATATAAACTGCCAGTGGGATTCTGGCCACTGTGGCTCGATCTAGGAAAGCAGAAAAAGGATGGGTGGAACAGCTCAGTTTGTTAGGTTGGTTTTGCCAATAGAAGTGGATCTCAAAGGATTTGAAGTGGCCACTACTAATTAAAGCAAAAGCTGACAAACCTTCTTGCCTGTGGTACCACAGAGTGGATAATAGATCTCCTGCTTGGTTTGCTTTCCCGCTGTTTTCACTCCATTCACAGCAACTCTTTGTGGGTTTATACAGAAGGAGTCAGGTGGTTAAGTTGTCTTAGAAACTCAATTATGGTAGATGTTAAGGTAAAAAAAGTTGTGTCAAAGTACCCATGTTTTTCCCCCCACTTGGATATTTTTTTATTTTCTCAAAAAGAAATAGGGGATACAAAAAGAGTATAATTGGAAAATTGATGCTTAAGAAATTTTTTGGATATTGTTTAAATGTGTACAACAATGGCAACCAGAAGTATTTATATTCATACAGTTTTCAAAAATAAAAACACTACAATAAATTAATCATTAAAAAAAGCTTTTCCTTATTTGTTTATAATTTCTTGGTTAAATTATTTCAAAAAATAACCATGTTTTGAATGCAAGCAGGTTGATCTATGGCCTGAATTTATTTATCTTTTGTGGGTATAGTTTCCTTACATTAAAACCAAGTTTATTTTCCTTCTTTGGGAATCAATTGAGGTGTAAGAGTTATATTTCATATCCACTCCTTGAACCACTACCTTAGAAAGTGCTTAATCCCAGGAAATGAGTTTCATGCAAAAGTAATTTGGAGCCAAAGGTGGTCATATCAAAATGTCCCCGAATATGAGCATAAGAACATAGGAGGACTGTGTAGTATCTGATCAGACGTCAATTCAGTTCAGCATTCTGATCATATGGCTGATCATACCATCCATATGGTAGGCCCACAAGTAGAATAAGAGGTCAAAGACCACCATCCCACTTATGTTCCTTGACAACTGGTATGTAGTGCCATACTGCCACTGATTCTGGCGGTCATAACCGTTAGCCACTGATTTGCCCTATCCTCTGTATATTTGTCTACTCTTCTTTGAAGCCATCCAGGTTTATGTACATCCACTGGTAATGAATTCCACAATTTAACAATTTGCTTGGTGAGGAAATACTTCAATTTATCTGTCCTTAATTTCTCACAAGTCAGTTTTACCAAATGGCTCACAGTTCTAGTATTATTTATCTTTTTATTTAAAATATTTGTACCCTGCCTTTCTCTTTTCTTAGAAAAGAGAGAGAAACTTTTCTCTGTCTACTTTCTCCAAGTTAAAGAGTCCTTTCCAACATTATAACTTTTCCTCACAAGAAAATAGTTCCAATCCTATGATATTTTTTCTTGCAGCATAGATGACTATCAAATTCTTTACACTGTTAATAGTATACAGTATCGTATTTCCAGGTACATTTTAAAATGCAGCTCAAAGGTATCTACAAATGTTTTGAAATGACGATGATTTAAAACAATAAACTTGCACCTCAGCAGCAGCACGTTCAATACCCAAATTTGATGCTCTGGATAGAGATAACAAAAGAAAACAGCTCCTGTCAGCTTGTAAAAATATATATTACTTCTCACCTAAGACCCCAAGTTTCAACTCAATATTGTTTTCTCACAATTCTGTGTACCTATTAAATAAAAAGGTACTGACAGCCAACAGCAAACCAGTAAAGTCATAAAAGTGCCATGATGATATGTGGTGTCTATTAGATCAAACTATGAAACCTAGGTGTTATGAGAACTATGAAGCCAGCCCCTGGTCCTCAG